CGGCCAGAGGTCACGGCCAGGCAGACCCTCAGGGCGGCCGCAGGGACCTCGCCCCGCGAGGCCGGGCCAGTGCACCTTGAAACTGGTGGTCTCGGGCCGGTGCTGTGGCGCAGCGGGTTAACGCCCTGGCCTGAAGCGCCAGCATCTGGTTTGAGACCCGGCTACTCCACTTCCAGTCCAGCTCCCTGCTGTGGCCTGGGAAAGCAGTAGAGGATGGCCAAGTCCTTGGGCCCTGCATCTGCGTGGGAGACCTGAAGAAGCTCCTGATTCTTTGGCTTTGGATCAGCGCAGCTCTGGCCGTTGTGGCCAGTTGGGGAGTGAACCATTGGATAGAGGACCTTTCTCTGCCTCTCCTCTCTCTGTGTAACTCTTTCAGATAAATAAATTTTAAAAAGAAAAAAGGAACTCTGGTGGTCCAGGGGCTGGCACTGTGGTGTAGTGGGCTACGCTGCTGCCTACAGTCCCGGCATCCCACATGGGTGCCAGTTTGAGTCCCCGCTGCTCCATTCCTGACCCAGCTCCCTGCTAATGCACCTGGCAGAGCAGTGGAGGATGGTCCAGGTGCTTGGCCCCTGCACCCACCTGGGAGATCTGGAAGAAGTTCCTGGCTTCTGGCTTCGGTTCAGCCCAGCTCTGGCAGATGGAAGACCTCTGTCTGTCTGTCTGTCTGTCTCTGCCTTCCTGTAACTGTGCCTTTCAAATAAATGAGTCTTAAAAAAAAAAGGGCAGAAGAAACCCTTGCGGTCCGGCAAGGCACATCGGTGAACACAGGCTGTAGTGTGCTCACACAGGAGCAGTGAGCGGGTCATGGGGACGGGGATCACGGGCAAACCCAGTTCCTCTTCCACGGTGACCTGCCGAGCCGGGGCCCGAGTGTCGTCTGGAGAGTGACATGGCCTCCTGCGCCCTCACTGCTGCTCCTCCCTCCGAACACCACCTTGTTAGTTTTTTTTGATAAACGTTTATTTATGTATTTATTTATTTGAAAGGCAGAGTGACAGAGGGAGGGAGAGAATCTCAAATGGCCACAACAACCAGATCTGGGCCAGGCCAGAGCCAGAAGCCAGGAGCCCTGTCCAGGTCCCCCATGTGGGTGCAGGGGCCCGAGCACTTGGACCTCTGCTGTCTTCCCAGGCCACAGCAGCGACTCCGACCTCTCCAAGGGGGATTCTGGTATCGGAAGCATCACCTTGACCCCCTAGGCCACAGTCTGAGGAGGACGTCCCCCTGGGCTTCTGCCGCCCCAGACGGACGCCAGTTGTGAGTGACAGCAGCAGGGCTACTGAGAAGCCTGGCCCAGCCCAGGATGCGGCCGAGGGGAGGGGGAGGGGCGCTGGCCGGGCACCAGGGGGCTGCAGACCTTTCCCCTGGCCGGGGCTGAGGATGACAGGGGAGGGGGCTCCTCAGCTGCTTCCTGGGGCCAGGGAGGAGGTGCCGGGCAGGACAGAGGACGCCCTCACAGTCTGCTTGGGGAGAGTCTGGGAATGCCCACTTCCCCTGGAACTGCGGGGGTTGGGGAGGTGCCTGCTAACAGCCACCACTGAGAAACTGGGACCCGTTGGACAGGATGCCCTCTCCCTGGTCCCAGTGTGCCCACAGCTGCCCCTTCCCTGCCCAGGGCTCTTGGACCTGCGCGTCCTGCTGGTGTCACTGGATCCTGCCAACTTCAGTTTGCTGGTTTGGTTTTGTTTGTTAAAGATTTATATTTCAAAGGCAGAGTTAGAGAGAGGTCTCCCGTCCTCTGGTTCACTCCCCAAATGGCTGCAACGGCTGGGGCTGGGCCAGGCTGAAGCCGGGAGACAGGAGCTTCCTCCAGGTCTCCCACGCAGGTGCAGGGGCCCAAGCATCTGGGCCATTGATGCTCTGCTGCTTTCCCAGGCCACAGCAGAGAGCTGGATCAGAAGTGGAGCAGCGGGACTCAGACCGGCGCCCATGTGGGATGCGGGCACTGCAGGCGCAGCCTCACCCGCCATGCCACAGCGCTGCCGTTCGCTCGTGTTATTCAGGACTTCGCGTGTGCGTCAGGGATCTGGGGTCTTTATCAAGTCTCAACTTCACAACTGTGCTGGCTCCAAAACAGGTGGCAGATTTCCCTCTGATCCAGCTTCCTGCTGGAACACAGCCTGGAGCAGAGGGTGAGGGCCCAGCACAGAGCCCCTGCTACCCTCACGGGGTCCAGGTGGGGCTCCCGGCTGCGCCCGGCCCAGCTCTGCCTGTTGTGGCCTTTGGGGAGTGACCCGTTTCTCGCCTGTGCACATACTCACATGCTCGCTCTGCCTTTCCAATAAATAAAAATGAACAAGTAAACCATAGTGGGAAGTAAAGCCAGTTAGGATCTTTTAGTTACTGTAACTTATTTGAAAGGCAGTGTGACAGAGATCTGTCCGCTGGCTCACTCCGCACACAGCCACAACGGCCAGGGCTGGGCCAGGCTGCAGCCCGGAGCCAGGAGCCCCATCCTGGTCCCCCATGCCAGTGCAGGGGCTGGCACTGGAGCCATCACCGCGCCTCCCAGGCCGTGAGCAGGGGTGGGGCAGGATTCCATCTTAGGCACTTAGATGCAGCAGGTGGGCGTCCCAGGTGCTGGTTTTTCTTTCTTCTTTCTATGTAGGTTGATTGATTTGTTTGTTTGAAAGGCAGAGTTAGAGGGAGATTGTCACCTGCCGGCCGTGTCGCCGTCTCAACTCTGTCTCTGCTTCATCCTGTGTCAACTTTGGTGAATTTTAGTTTCCGGGGTGTTGGTTCCTTTCATTGACATTGTGTGGTGTTTGCCGTGGGCTGGTCACGGTGCTCGCGGCTGTGTGGTGTTTGCCGTGGGCTGGTCACGGTGCTCGCGGCTGTGTGGTGTTTGCCGTGGGCTGGTCACGGTGCTCGCGGCTGTGTGGTGTTTGCCGTGGGCTGGTCACGGTGCTCGCGGCTGTGTGGTGTTTGCCGTGGGCTGGGTCACGGTGCTCGCGGCTGTGTGGTGTTTGCCGTGGGCTGGTCACGGTGCTCGCGGTTGTGTGGTGTTTGCCGTGGGCTGGGTCACGGTGCTCGCGGCTGTGTGGTGTTTGCCGTGGGCTGGGTCACGGTGCTCGCGGCTGTGTGGTGTTTGCCGTGGGCTGGGTCACGGTGCTCGCGGCTGTGTGGTGTTTGCCGTGGGCTGGGTCACGGTGCTCGCGGCTGTGTGGTGTTTGCCGTGGGCTGGGTCACGGTGCTCGCGGCTGTGTGGTGTTTGCCGTGGGCTGGTCACGGTGCTCGCGGCTGTGTGGTGTTTGCCGTGGGCTGGTCACGGTGCTCGCGGCTGTGTGGTGTTTGCCGTGGGCGCCATGGTTCACGGTGCTCACGTTCTTCCCAGAGTGGCTCTGGAGCAGTGACCCCTCGTGCCTCGACTGCTGTGCTTTCTTGGTCGGAGTGAGCAGGAAAAGCAGCCGAGTTCCTCCCATGCCGTCAGCAGCCACGCCAAACCTGACGGGCAGTTCTGGCGCCAGGCCAGCAGTGTCCTCTGGTTCAGCTCGTGCCAGCCAGAGAGCCCTGCTCTGCCTCCCACGTCTGTGCCGGCCACAGCCGCGGTCGCTTTGCTGTGCAGATAAGAAGCCGGGGCCCCAGATGCCTTGTTGGGGTTGGGGTGGCTCACGGCCTCCAAACTCCTGTGCCGGCTCCTCGCAGGAGAGCTTGGTCCCCAGGGCCACCCTGGGGTGCACGCCACCTGCCCATGGGAGTGCTCTGCAGTCCCAGCCCTGTCCACTCTGCGGAGGTGGGGGCGGGGCTGCACGTGCAACCCTGGCTGCGCGGTTCCCCTGGCGATGGCCCCTGTGCCATGGTGCCATGTGGGACGTCCTCTGTCCATCTCGCCCAAACCCGCTGTGCCAGCCAGGGGGCCGCCAGGCTGCCAGGGTCCGTGGGAAGAGCCCCAGCCCACCTCTGTCTCCTGTGTGTCCTGTGCACCCTTGGGCCCTGACTGGCTTCTGCGCATCTATGAGAAGACGGGCCGGAGACCTTGATGGGCACGGACAGGAGCCACTGCCGACGGCTCTGCCAGGCCCCTTGGCCCTCTGTCTCCATCCCAGGCTCACCAGAACACCTTGCGTTTGCCCTGGCCCCTTCTGGAGGCTGGAGGGGGTGCCGTGAGGGCATCGGTCACTAGGGCCTCACGCGGGCCCCGTCTTGACTGCCCTGGTGATCTGCGGTGTCCACTGAAGAGGGTGTCGCCCATGGCCCTGGCGCCCTGACGTTGGTGTGAGCACGGCCGGCACTGCCTTTCGGGGCAGCAGTTCCGGTGTTGTCTGGGCAGCTTCTGAGAAGGGCCAGGGGTACAGTGGCACCTCACATCCTCGTCCCACCCTGTTTGTGGTTTTGAGTCCTTGGGGCCACAAGCTGTTTGCTGTGAGCCTGTGCGGGCCCTGGGTGCTAGGAGGGTGCCCAGGCTGGGGGGCTCTGGGGTCCAGGGCGCCTCACAGGGAGATGCGGCTGCATTGTGCCCAAGGCCTGTGTGGAGCCCTGAGGACTGACACTACGCCAGCGTCGTCCCCTCCTGCCCCCGCTTATCCCCCGCCTGTGGCTTTGCTACTCACATGGGACTCCTCTCTTACCTCCACTAAAAACCCTTCAATGCAGGTTTATTTTAAAAAAAAATTTATTAGGCAGAGAGAGAGACCGACAGACATGGGTCTTTCATCCACTGCCTCCCTCCCCAGATGGCCACAGACAGGCAGGGATGGGCCAGGCTGAAGCCAGGAGCCAGGAGCTTCTTCCGGGTCTCCCACGGGGCTGTGGGGATTCAGGATCCTGGGCCATGAGCAGGCAGCCGGGCCTTGCACGGGTGCCACGTGGGCGCGGCCAGCTCGCGATTGAGCCCTGAGCTGCTCTCTCTGCTGCTTCCCTGCAGCCTTGCATGCTGCCTCCGTCCGCGGGGTGGCCGAGCCTCGCCCCTTCGTGCTCTGGTGTGCAGCTTGGGGGGCGCGGGGCAGGGCAGCCTCCAGCAGCTGTCTCACGGGGCCCCGCCTCGTCTCCCCTCGCAGACGAGCCTACCATGGCAGACCAGAGGCAGCGATCCCTGTCCACGTCTGGGGAGTCGCTGTACCATGTGCTCGGGCTGGACAAGAATGCGACCTCAGACGACATCAAGAAGTCCTACCGGTAAGAGGCCGGCGTGGGCCCGGCGTGTCTGCCAGCCGCCCCTGCCCCACAGGCCCCCAGGGTCGGCGCCCATCCAGAGGCCTCTGTCACGGGGCCTTGGCCTGCCTGAGTGACACAGGCTGACGGGCTCTGCCCTGCTGTGGCCTCTGTTTGAGACACAGGTCACTCTGTGACCCAGGGGGCAGTTGTCGCTGTCCAGGTGGCTCAGGGAGGCACCTGCGTCTCAGGGCTTCAGGGTTTTGGACGCTGTCCCCAGCACTTCCCTGAGCAGATGGGCAGGTCACTGGCCGGGATGCTAGGGTCAGCGGTGGGAAGTTCCTGACCCTCGCACTGTGCACAGCCCCCCCCCATCCCCGCCCAAGACTCTTGTGGACGGAGCGGGGTGGGTGTCCTGCCTTGACATGTGCAGAGCGCAGTGTAGACCCCGTGTCTGGGAGCTGGGAAGCCAGGTGGTGCCAGGCCACCACTTTTCCCGGGACCCTCCAGTGAGGCCGAGGTAGAGGCAGGAAGTGGTTCTGGTTTGCAGGAAGCTCGCCTTGAAATATCACCCTGACAAGAACCCCGATAACCCCGAGGCTGCAGACAAGTTCAAGGAGATCAACAACGCGCACGCCATCCTGACGGACGCGACCAAGAGGAACATCTACGACAAGTACGGCTCGCTCGGGCTCTACGTGGCTGAGCAGTTTGGCGAAGAGAACGTCAACACGTACTTCGTGCTGTCCAGCTGGTGGGCCAAGGTGAGGGGCAGGGGGCCGGGGGCCGGCTCCAGGAGTGGACAGAGGGGCAGGCAGCCGGGGAGGGGGGTGCGCTCTGCGAATGGACGGAGGGGCAGGTGGCTGGGGGTGGGGGTGGCTCCACCTGTGAAGAGATGGGCAGTGGTCAGGGGCCAGCTCTGCCTGTGGACAGAGGAGACCTGAGATCTGGAGTGTGTGTGTGTCCTGCGGCCTGGACGTCCGTCACGCACGAGGACGGAGCCGCGTCTCCCCGGCTCTGCCCGCCCCGCCCGTCCTCACCGCGGCCGCGTCTCCCCGGCTGTCTGCCCGTCCTCACCGCGGCCACGTCTCCCCGGCTGCCCGCCCCGTCCTCAGCGCAGCCGCATCTCCCGGCTGTCTGCCCGTCCTCACCGCGGCCACGTCTCCCCGGCTGCCCGCCCCGTCCTCAGCGCAGCCGCATCTCCCGGCTGTCTGCCCGTCCTCACTGCGGCCGCGTCTCCGCAGGCGCTGTTTGTCTTCTGCGGGCTGCTTACCTGCTGCTACTGCTGCTGCTGCCTGTGCTGCTGCTTCAACTGCTGCTGCGGGCGCTGCAAGCCCAAGGCCCCCGAGGGCGAGGAGACCGAGTTCTACGTGTCGCCCGAGGACCTGGAGGCCCAGCTGCAGTCTGACGAGCGGGGTGAGTGCCCGGCCCAGTGCCCGAGTGAGCGAGGGGTGGCGGCGGCACTGGCCCTGAACAGTGTCAACCTGTCTTGTCAAACAGGAGGGCACTGACACGGTGCCGCGGGTGTGTGTGGCGGCAGCTGGCACTGTTGAGGTGTGAACCAGGAGCCCGGAGGTAACACCAGGTGCAGGGCGCCGTCCCGCCCTGAACTGCCGTAGGCTAGATCCAGGGACGAGCGGGCGGCTCAGGCAGGCGGGCAGGGCGAGGGCCGTGCTGGGGGCGGGCGAGCAGCCTCTGCCTCGGAGCCGTGTCTGAGTGGGCGACCAGGCGACCAGGTGCTGCTTCCCACAGAGCCACGGAGGCCGCCCCGGTGCCCTGAGGCTGCGCGCTTCCCTTTCAGAGGCCTCGGACGCGCCCATCGTCACCCAGCCGGCCTCCGCCACAGAGACCACCCAGCTCACGGCTGACTCCCACCCCAGCTACCACACCGACGGGTTCAATTAGGCCAGAGCAGCTGTGACGAGAGGACCGGCCGGCGCCCGGCCGCTGCACCCCCAGCCATGAACTGTAGTCGGCCCCGCCCGCCCGCCCGCCCAGGCGTAGCATGCAGTACGTAAAGCAGTGTCGCTGCAGTCTCCTGTCTCCTTTTGTGATAGCATGTGTGAGTCACGCTCCGTGTCTGTGTCGTGGACGTGCCCGTGGTGGGGCTGCCGGCCAGCCGGCCGGTGCAGCCGGGGCCGCCCCGCACCTTCCCGCTGCTCCGTGCTCCGGTCCGGGGCGGCTGCTGCCCGGGGTGGGGCCCAGCGGCGTCTGTGCAGGACCCTGGCCGGACCACCAGGCTCTCCCCAGGGCGAGGGTCCGTGTCTGAGAGTGAAGCCACGTTTTGTGTGCCGTGTTCCCCGGGGGTCCTCGTCGCATCCTGCCGGTGAGGAGGTCGTCTGTCTGCGTCCCTGTCCCTTTCCTAGGCCGTGAGCTGCACCCACGGGGCCCCGGCTCCCCCTGCCCGGGGCTGTCCCCCACATTCCTTCCAGCGGGCCTGCCCCTCGCGTAGACTCACAGACGTAGCCCCGGCCCCAGTAGTCGTAGTCAGAGCCTGGGAGTCCAGCCTGTGGCCACGTGGGACGTCAGCACGCACCTGTGACAGACAGCCCCAACCCTGCCTGTGCTTGCCCTGCCTCCCCCCGCCCCCGCCCCGCCCCGCCCCGCCCGTGGCACCCGGCTCCTGCAGGAAGGACCAGGGAGGCCATGGTGCAAGCTGGCAGCTGGACCTGGGACTCCCTGTAGGAACTGATGTTAGTCTCCTGTGTCGCAGACCTTGTGGGCGGCACACGGGTGGGACCAGCGGCCTGTGCCGATGTTGCTTTTGGCTGCTGGCTGCGTGACCGAGGTCAGGTGGCCCCGGGCGTTGCCAGGGCAGAGCTGAGGGGAGTGGGATGTGCCGGCGGAGGGGCCCGGCTGGGGCCCAGCCACACACAGCTTCATTTGTCCCATTCTGCTTTGTTTTTTAAACAAATGATCGTTAAAGTGACCACGAAAGCGTTGAGAAGTCGGGGAAGAGAGCAGCAGGCCCCGTCTCCTGTGTGGAATTTGTAAAACGAAATGAATCATGTAGAATTTGTAAAACGAAATAAATAAAACTGTTCTCAAGGTGCCGGGTGATGACCGTGACGAGAAACAGGTGAGCTGACTTGAGCCCGTGAAGGAGATGGCCGGCCGACAGGCTCCCCCGTGCCCCGAGGGGACCGAGAGCCAGGCCCAGAGCCGGGTGTGTGGTGGGCGGCCGTCCTGCGTGCCCTGGGCTGGAGAACTCTTCCTCGCAGAGCCCACGGGGGGCAGGTGCGGGGGCGAGCCGGGGTCCTGGGAGTTGGTTGAGCCCTGTCTCCCCTGTGTGGCCTGTGAACTAAAATCATGTAGAACTCGTGAAACCAAATAAATAAAGCCGTTGTCAAGTGGCAGTGGTCAGCCAAGCCCCAGCAAGGATGACAGGGTGGGGGGTTCTCCCACTGCCTGGCCCAGTGGCTCGGCCGTCCCGGGCCATGTCCTAGGCCGTGTCCCGGGCCATGTCCCGGGCTGTGTCCTAGGCCGTGTCCCGGGCTGTGTCCTAGGCCGTGTCCCGGGCCATGTCTGGGCTGTGTCCCGTGCTGGGTCCCAGGCCGTGTCCGGGCCATGTCCCGGGTTACGCTGGCCTCCCTGGTTTCCTTTCTCCCCTCGCTGAGTGATGCCTGTTTTCCTTTGATGCACAGAGCTGTAGAGTTGGGGGCCCTTCCTGTGGGGGCGCCTCCATACCCCCAGGGCCCCCATTGGTCTTGGCTGCTGGGGGGAGGCAGGGGAGCATGTGTGGCCTTCGGCTCTGCCCTGGCGTGGCCAGGGTGTGGTCAGCCTGTCCGCTTCCTAAGAGCAGTGGGTGTTCCTGAGAAGGGCCCTGGCTGCCCTGACCACCTGTGCCCTCAGCAGGCTCGTGGGAGGCCTTGCTGGGCGGCACAGGAGCCGCTGGCATGCATGTGGCCGGTTCCGGCTCTGTTCTCTGTTTAACCACGTGGTGTGTGGGCCTCCCGGCTCCCGGCGTCCATGCTGCCAGCCCCGTGAGGACCAAGGAGATGGAGGCTCCAGCCTGAGTCGGTGGAGACTTTCTCGCTGTAGGCCCAGGTCCTGCTGAGCCCTCATGAGTCTGTGAGGAGAGCCTCGCGCCGAGGCGTGCCCACTGGCTGGGCCGATGCTGGGGCGTCCAGTGCCAGGGCAGAGCTGGCTGGGCCCTGGCCCCCTCCGTGGGAACGGCCTGCGGGGGTTAGAGGTGGACCCTGTGCCTCTCCCTGTGCTCTGAGCTGCGGGCCGTGTGGCGGAGGGCTGACCCGTCTCCCCTTGGCTGTGGCGTGTCATGCTGCCGTCCGGTGGCAGAGCAGAGTACAGTAAAAGTTGGGTTTTGAGGGCCTGTGCTGGCTTGGCGGTCAGGCAGTGCAGGGTGTCCAGGCAGCGCCATGGACGCACACCACCAGGCCCCACCCGGTTGAGTTCCAGCAGCCTTGGTGGTGAGGGTGGTGAGCTGACCAGTGCCTGTCCCGCCCTCCCTGGGGCCCAGACCCCTCCCCCGCAGTTTCCTGAGCGGCAGGTTCCAAAGGGGGGTGCCTGCAGGCGGCATCTTCCGGAAGTTTCTTTCCCTGGAAAATGGAGCTGATGTCTGCGGTGGACACTGCGGTGCGCGTGCGTGGTGGCACTTGTCACGCCCGGCCCTGTTCCGGGCGCACACTGCAGACGGTGTGTGTCCTGAGCCCTGCATGCAGGGGCAGCTGACCTGCGCCCCGTCCAGATAAGGAAGGGAGCCCTCGTGGGGCAGTTCCCCGCCGTGTAGCCCCCTGCTGGCTGCCCAGGCCGTGGGGCGTCTTCCCCTCATCCTGCCGAGCCTGCGGCCCCAGCCTGCAGCCCCTCCCCTACTCCTGGAACCCTTCTCTGCCTCACATGTCCGGGAGAGCCCGTCTAGACCAGCAGGTGCAGCTGTCAGCGCCGTCGGGAACTGGTTCTGAATGGATCCTGCCTGGTTCTGGGCCTGAGCCCTCTGGTGCTTAGGCCTCTCCTGAGCTGACTGCACGAGGCAGGGGTGGGGGTGAGGTCGGAGGGCATCCAGACAGCCCGGCCCCACCTGCACCTGGGACAGCTCCGTCCCTGTGCGCCTTTGTCCTGCGCGTTCAGGGATGGATTTCCCAGGGTTGCCCTGTCCTGGGGTCCAGGCCTCAGGGCTGCAGCAACTGCCACTCCAACTGCCTGGATCACATCTGAGCTGGAGGGGAGCCAGCCATGCACCCCAGCATCCTGCCAGCTGCTCCCCAGCCCTCCACACACCATGTCCAGGGGGTGCTCTGGAATCACCTCGCCACGCCTCCTCAAAGCAGGGGGGAGGGGCAGGGGTCAGCATGGACAGGGTGCAGCCACAGCGTGCCCCCGGCGTGGGCTCCTGTAGGGGGGCGCCAGCCGTCTCCGGCCTGCGGACAGGTGTCCCTGGGGTGCTCTGCTGTGCACACTGGGCCGGGTGGGGCCCTGACTGACGAGCCTGATGCTCTGGCCGGGAGACCCCAGGGTTAGGTTTCTGCCTTGGACCTGTGTGTGCCCTGGTCAGTGCAGGGCAAGGCAGAAGCGAGCGCTGCTTCCAGTTCTGGCTTCTCTGCTTCCGATCCTGCTCTCTGCTGATGACCTGGGAAGGCAGCAGATGAGCCAAGCACTTGGGCCCCTGCACCCAGTGGGGCACCCGGACGAAGCTCCTGGCTCCTGGCTGCAGACTGCACCAGCCTTGGCTTTTGTGGCCATTTGGGGAGTGAACCGGAGGACAGGAGATCTCTCCGTCCATCTGTCTTTTTCTCTGTCACACTGCCTTTCAAATTCAGTCTTGCCGGTCAGCCTCAGCTTCATGAGTTTGTGCGTGCCCTCATGCTTAGCTGCAGATGGGGGTGCTTGTTTCTGGTTGGTCCACGTGGCTCTGCCGGGCTCTGATTGGGTCAACTGAACAGTGCAGTGTTCATCCAGGCTGCGCTGGGGGAACAGCCGCCTGCGCTCCCAGGTGGGGCAGCGGGGACGGGGTTCCGACAGCTGCCTGCTGCCCCTCCGCCTAATCCCATGCCTTAGCGTCCTTGGACATTGAGACCTCATTTCTCATTTTTGGTGTTTTATGTATGTAATTCTTTTAAAAAAAAATGAAGGCAGAGAGAGTGAGCTACATCATCGGTCATTCCCCAAATGTCCACAACAGCTAGGTCTGGGCCAGACCAAAGCTAGAGCCAGAAATTCAGTCCAGGTCTGCCACTTGAGCTGCCACCTGCTGCCTTGGTGCCCATCAGTAGGAAGCTGGACCGGAAGCAGAGCCCTGGCAGGAACCAGGCCACGCCCACCCCACGGAGCCCCGGGAGCTGTCAGCACGCTTGGGCAGGCAGGGAGGCCTCGTGCAGAATCAGGTTCCGGGATGGCCATCGACTTCCCAAAAGGACGCGGCCACTAAGGAGAACGTGTCCGGGCCAGCCCTGCCAGCCCCGCGCACTTGCCTAGCGCTTGGCTGCCCGGTGGGGAGGGGTCTGCGGGCATGCGCCAGGCATGAGCCCTCGCAGATGCTCACGCTCCCCGGGCTGGGTCGGAGTGCCGGAGCGGTTGTCGCCTTTACCTGGAAGGCAGTTGGTGACGGAGGGACTCATGGGCGGCGCTGCCGAAAGCGCCAAGGCCCCCAGCACCCCCCATTCCACCCCCTGCCTTGCCTAGGAACGCAGCCCGCGTGGTCTGGTCCTTGGAGCCCGGCGGAGCTGAGATCCACCTGCTCTGACCCACCCCCGGCTCTGGCACCACAGCCTCCTACCGTGCCACGCACGTGCACATGCACACACACACCCCCTTGGCTTCAGAGGCTCCCGTGCTCCCAGCCCTGGCCCCGTGAGCCCCACTCCAGGAGATGCTTCCCGACCCCTCTCCTCGGTAGACCGAGGGCAGCATCCCCTCACCCCAGGCCTTGGGACCCACCAGTGTCCCCGATGGAGGGAACCAGGCTTCCCATACAGCCACGCCAGGACCGCCATGTCCCCAGGGCCAGCACTGCAGGGGTGGCAGGCGCCATTCTCAGGTCAGGCAGTCCTGGGGCACAGCCCAGCGGCAGCAGAGCCTGGCTTCTCCCGGGGCCTTACGGGCAAGTGGAAGGGGAGGCCCAGGGCTGTGTCCACCTGCGCCACCCCCACCCCCGGCCCCACATCCGCACACCCTGTCCGCTGGGCTCGGGTCTGCCAGGGCTGTTGTCTGCAGCAGCCATGTGGAGGTCTTGTCCACACAAGGGTCTTGGACCTATTTCCTGGGCCCGGGAAGTAGCCCCGGGCCAGAGGAGATGCCCTTGACCTCTCCACCCCGTGCACCCTGACACCCTTCCCCGGGGCTGTCTGGAAGGTCTCGGACTCCCCACGGGGCCTTGGCAGGAAGTGGACCCAAAGTCCCCGAAGCTGGGGCCCAGGCCTCTTGGGCTCCTGACCCCTCCTCCCCTTAGGGCCTGGCCAGTCCTGACTGGTTCGCGGGAGCCAGCTGGATTTGGGGCGGGGCAGCGCCTGGGAGGAATGACCTGTCTGGAAGCAACAGCCTCGTGGTGCCCAGGGCCCAGCTTGGGACACAGATGTAGTGCGGGAGAAGGGGGTACTCACCAGGGTGGGCAGGAGGCCTCTGCTGACCGCTGGGGTGCTCCAGCCTGCCCTGGCGTCCCTGGTGCCGGCCACTCCTGGGACGAGCCTCCCGCCTTTAGCTGCCTGTCACCTTGTCTGGCCTCTGCCCGGTGACGAGCTTTTCCATGACAAGGCCTTGGGTGTATGTGTGGGGGTGGGGAGAGGCTGAGCTGAGCTGGACTGAGAGGATGGAGACCGGGCGCCTGTCTGTGGCCCACGTGTGTGCTGGCCCTGTTTGTGTGGACGCCTCACCCAGGCAGGACTGGACAGACGCCTGGTCCCACATGGTGGGGCTGCCCCCCACCTGGACGTCCTCCAAGCTGTCACCCACTGGCCAGGTCCGTTGATGTACGAAATGTAGGGAGGACAGATGGGTCAGCAGTGGCTTCTTGTTCAGACCCAGAGCCCTGGGCAGTCTTGTCCCCTCCCGAGGCCCAGGCCCAGCACCACTGAGCTGTGTAGCTCCAGGGGCCCCAGCCGTGCCCTCACCTTGGTGCAGGCCTGGAGCCAGGTTGGGCTGGGCACGGGCAGGCTCTCAGGCCTCTCCCCCTGCTGGCCTTGTCCCAGCCAGGGCTCTATTCCCGCACCCCAAGCAGCCAGTCACACGTCTCCGTTCTGAAGCTTTACTGATTGCACAGAATACACCGTTTCGCAACATCTCGAAGTTACAGGAAGCTAACACATCCCGGGCCCTGGGCGGGAGGCAGCTCAGCCCACGGAGGCTGCCTCCTCCTCGTCACTGCCATCAGGGGCTGCGTCCGTCCCAAAGTAGCGGTCGCCAAAGTTCCCTGCAGACAGAGGCAGGAGGTGAGGAGGGGCCCCGCCCCCTGCCGAGGGCAGCCCGCTCAGCGCCCCGCCGGGCCTCACCGATGCCTGGGATGATGCGGAACAGGTCATTGACGCGCTTGTCCACGGCGGTGGTGATGATCCTGACGCGGGGGAAGGCGTAGGCCACGGAGTGCACGCCCATCTCCGCCATCAGCAGCGACAGCAGGAAGATCTTGTCCTCGGGCACGTCGTGGTCCTGCCCGGCACAGAGCAGGTGAGGCCCAGCCCTGCGGGAGCCGCCACCCCCCCAGGGCCCACTCACCAGGAGCACGCGCACCGCCATCATGGCTGCCGCCCCGGTGGACACTGTGCAGTCCATCAGGATCACGTGGTCGTCACTGATGTCCTTGGGCAGCCGCAGGTAGTGGAGCTGCGGGCAGCGAGGGGTCAGTGCCCCAGCAGGGCCCGGCCCCCTCAGGGCTGCCCCCCGTCCCCCGCCCCCACCTCGGGCCCCGCACCTCGGGCTCCCCCGTGAGCGGGTTGGTCTGGATGAGGATGGTGCCGATGCGCACGTCCTTACACACGGCTCGCAGCGCAGGCTCCATGGTCTCGCCCGCCCGCAGGATGGACACGCCCGTGATCTGGGGAGCATGAGGGGGCTGAGCCGGCCCGCCCCCCGGCCCGCCCCCGCCTCAGGTGCCCCGGCCCCCCGGCACAGCCTACCTGCTTCCCTGCGTAGCACTTGCCCGCATAGTCCTGCCCCTGGGGGGTCCGCACCACACAGTCCTGCGTAGGACGGGGTGGGGGCTTCCGTCAGCCCGGGCTGCACCCCCCCCCGCCCCCCGCCCGCCCCGCTGCCCACGCACCTGGAAGGGCAGGAAGGAGAGTGCGTGTTCGATGAGCAGCCGCATCAGCCTCTTGGAGTAGAAGATGAACTCGTCGCGGCTGGTCTCCCGGTCCCTGCGGGCACAGGCTTAGCCATGGGGTCGGGCCGTGGGGGCCGCCCGCCGCCCGCAGGTGGGCGCTCACCTGATGATGGTGTGCATGCCTCGCACCTGTGGCGAGCTCTCGAGGACACTCAGCGTCCGGGGCAGGGGGTGGCACTGGTGCGCGGAGGCCAGCGCAGCCCTGGAACACAGCCCATCGGGGACGCTCAAGGTGGGTGTCGCCCACCAGAGCCCCTATCTGGGGCTGCTTCCCTGCAGCTGACATGGTGGGAGGGGGCGGGAGAGGCCCCCACCAGCTGCCAGGCAAGGGTGCAGGAGCAGGCAGGACGCAGAGCTGCGGGCCCGGAGGCTGGGCTGTGCAGCGTGCCACCCTGGGCTGGGGAGAAGCAGAGGGGGCAGATAGCGGGGGTGCGGCGTGGGCTCACAGGTGCCCATGGGTCTGGGCCCCCAGCCTCTCCCTGGGGCCCAGCCCTGTCCAGGCAGGGGTTGTGGTCCCTCTCGGGAGAGGGGCACACAGCTGGCTCCGCGCTGCCTACTGCTCCACCTGGGGAGGAGGAGGGGCGAGGCAGGGGCAGGTGCGGGGCAGGTGCGGGACAGGTGCGGGGGGCACACGGCAGGCACAACCAGAGCGCTCTGCTCACAGATCCCAACGGAGCTTCCTCTGCTCGCCAGGTGAGGGTGCGTTCAGGGGGCAGCGGGTTTACGGCCAGGAGAGAACAGAGAGAAGGTCACTCAGCGGGGCACACTGGCTGCGGACGTGCCTGGGGAGGCGGGGCGCCCACCGGCCCCTGCCCACCGAAGCAATTCCTGGAGCTGGAGCCGGCCAGGGAGGGGGGCATGGCCACCACTTCCTCGCTGACCAGAGAATGGCGTTTTCTCAAGTTCGAAACCTGGAGACGGTTTCTCAGAACAAAGGCTTTGAGAGGAACGGAGGTGACAAGACCCGCAGGTGCCCCGGTCTGGGTGGGGTGAGCAGGCACATGCAGGCCAGGAAGCGGGCTGGGTGGCGGCCTGGAGGCATTTCCAGTGCACAGGGAGCTGGGCAGGGCGCCCAGGTGCGGGGCTGGGCAGGTCTGGCCGCTGCCCACCTGCTTGCGGGCATCCTGTCCCAACAGTCCCGCTCCTCCTGAGGTGCCAGGCAGGACGGAGCACGAGGCTCGGCTGCCCGGTGGCAGGGGATGTGCCATTGGTCGCTGCCCCCAGGGCCTGGCCGTGCTGGCTCAGGCCAGCTGTCCTCTCTGTGGCTGGAACCCACGGTCACCCCAAGTAGACGAGGAGTGACCGGCAGCTTCTGCCCAGCACAACTGCTTCGGCGTGACCACAGGGAGGTCACCCAGCCGCTCTGGGCCTCGGTGCCCTCGCCCGCCAGCAAGGGGAGCAGCAGCGGGCGGGGGTGGGGGTGCTGAGCCCACCACCCCTCTGCTTCTAGGGACACTGCACCCTGCCCAGCGCCGGCTGAGTGACAGCCCAGGCTGGGAGCTCCGTGTGGCGGTTGGAAATGCCTCCAGCTGTGCAGACGGCTGTGGAGGTCTTACCTGACGCTGAGTTCACGCTGTGGCGGCAGCACGGGGAGACACAAGGGAACGGGTGAGGCGTCAGTGCCCAGGGCGGGTAGCCGGCCACCTCCACCCAGGAAGGATGTGCTGCGGCCCCTGGAGAAGCCGCCTGCCACGGGAGGTGGTCGGCTTCTCAGGGCCGCTCACCTGGGACCGCCTGGGCCAGGATCCACAGCTCCGGGCTGGGCAAAGCCAGGACCCCCGGGGCTGCAGCCTGGGCAGCCCACTAAGAGGAGCCGCTGCCCCCTGTGGGGTCCTGGTCAGCAGGCCTCTTGGCTGAGGACCAGCCTCAGGCCAGGTGCCTCTGGGGGTTGAGCCCCCACCCCACCAAGCAGGGCTGGTGCCAGGTCAGGTGACCAAGCTAGGACAGCAGCCCCGGGACGCTCCAGGATCGGCACCACGGGGGGACAGTGGATGCGTGGGGCAGGGCGAGCAGGCCGCTGTGGACGGTGGCAGCAGAGCAGCAGAGGGGCTGGGGCGACCGCGGCCCAGAGCAGGCGCTCACCTCCTCCAGCTGACTGTGCACGTGCTGCACGATCAGGTCGATGGCCACTGCATTCCCGCTGCCTGGGCAGGAGGGGTGCGGTCAGACGGGGCAGAGGGAGCAGGCACAGGAGGGGTGCGGTCAGACAGGGGCGGGGTGGGAGGGGGTGCGGTCAGACGGGGTGGGGTGGGGGCGGGGCAGGCGCAGGAGGGGGTGCGGTCAGATGGGGCGGGGGGGCAGGCGCAGGAGGGGTGCTGTCAGACAGGGGCGGGGCGGGAAGGGGTGCTGTCAGACGGGGTGGGGTGGGGGCGGGGCAGGCGCAGGAGGGGTGCGGTCAGATCAGACGGGTGGGGTGGGGCGTGCTCAGGAGTGGGCGTGGCCAGGCAGAGGTGAGGCAGGCTCAGGAGTGGTCGTGGTCGGACTTGGAGGGTGGGGAGGGCTCATGGGTGGGTGTGGTCAGATGGGGCTGGGGGCGTGGTTGGTGGGCGTGGCCACAGATGGCAGGCTGGGGCGTGGCTGGGGCGGGCATGGTCAGACAGCAGAGTATGACTGGTGGGACAGGGCGCCATGAGGTGGAATCAGGGGTGGTCCCAGGGGCGGCTGGGCAGTGGGCCCGCCCTCCCCGCCCCCATGGCCCTTGCTCGCCTCTGGGCACCACGATGTCGGCCAGGCGCATGGTGGGCTGGATGTACTGGTCGAACGCGGGCTTCACGAACTTGTTGTACTGCTTGATGACGCCCTCGATGTCCCGCCCCCGCTCGCTGATGTCACGGCGCAGCCGCCGCACCAGGCGGATGTCCGAGTCGGTGTCCACGAAGATCTTCATGTCCAGGAGCTGGGAGGGGACGGCCGGCCCGGGGCGCAGCCCTGTCACCGGCAGGGCCAGCCAGGTCTGCGGAGGGCGCCCTGCGTGGGGGGAAAGGCCGGGACGCGGGCCGGCTCTGGCAGGGGCCCGAATGAGCTGGGCAGCGGCTCACGACCTTGGCAGGGGACCTACAAACCTGCGACCTGGGGAATCTGGGGTCTGGCCCCACTCCTGGAGGGGCCATGCGGGCGTCAGGCCAGTCATGGCCACACGCCCCTGGAACTGACCACAGCCCACCTGGCGTTCCTGGGGCCGGGTGACGCGCGGCCCCCACAGGTGCAGGCAGGGGCGGGGCCTCACCTCGAGCAGCGACTTGTCGGCAAAGGCCATGATGCCCTCGAAGATGATGACGTTGGCGCCGTACAGCGTTTTCTGCGGAGGAAGCCAGGGAGTTGCCGGCGCCCTGCGCGAGCCCCAGGCCCTCGCTGCCGGCCCCGAGCCTACCCAGTCCTTTTTGCGGCTGTGCGTGGTGAAGTCGTAGATGGGCACTTTAACGCTCTTGCCCTGCTTCAGCTTCTTGAGGGTGGACACGATGAGGTCGAAGTCGAAGGCGTCGGGGTGGTCGAAGTTGAAGTTGTTGCGTGCGGCCTGCTCCTGCTGCTGCTGGGTCAGCACCTGTGGGGCACGGGCGGTCCCGCGGCGGCCCTGCAGCCTGGCGCCTGCCCTGCCGCCGGCACCCAGGGTCGGGCCTCACCTTGTAGAAGGAATCCATGGACAGCAGGACCACCCAGGGCACGTCCAGGGCCTCGATGATCATCCTGGCCACAGTGGTCTTCCCGGAGGCGCTACCGCCCCCCAGGCCTGCCGCAGGTGGGGACACGCCCCCGCCCCGTGAGCAGGAGGCTGGAGGGGGCGGGGCCGCACAGGGCAGTGGACACGCCCCCCGGCTCACCGATGGCGAAGGCTTCCTTGGACTGCGTGCCGTGCTCGTTGTACCAGGGAGGCCGCCCGGCCGTGTAGATGGTTCTCTTGCTCGTGCGTAGCAGCGGCGGTTCCGACTTGCACTGGCTGGTGGTGCGCTTCCGGGGCGAGCGGCCGGCGCCCACGGGCGGCAGGAGTCTGTCCAGGGACTCGGCATTGCTGCTGTGGATGGGGTATGCTTGGCTTGGGCCCCCACTGCCGGCCAGCATGACCAGTCCCCTGTGGGCAGGCAAGCACAGCCCCAGGCTAGCCCAGGGCACTCACCCGAGACCAGCCCACTGGGCCCCTGGGGCTCACTGTCCACACAGCGGGGCCAGCAGTGACGAGGGAGGGGGCAGGGCCCTGTCCCCACTCAAATTCCAGACAGGCAAGGTCTCACTGCAGGCTATGCGTCTCCCCGTGCCCCCCACCCCAGGCACTCTCTTGGGCAGCCCAGGAGGTGGGCGGACAGTGGGTGGGCAGAGGCAGGGTCAGGCCAGGCCATGCACACAGGTGACAAGGGGAGGGACCTGATCCACAGACCGTGGGGACAGGAGGGCACTGAACAGGGTGGCACTGGCCTGACTTCTGTCAGGGTGCCGGAGGGCACTGGGGACCCTGAGATGAGCACCCGCAGCGTCCCCCAGTGCTGGGGAGGAAGGCGCTGCCAGCAAGCTGAAGCTGCACTGGGACGGACGGAGCTGACGCTCGGACCCCAAGTTCCCCAAGGGGCCAGGGCACGGCTTCAGGGAGGCCGGCTCCTCTGAGCGACACTGCACGCGGCTCCTGGCCTGGCCATGTGTGGAGTGGCTCAGAGCCAGGGCACTGGCTGCAGCTCCCACAGCAGCCCCACTTGTCCACCATCATGGGCTAGAGGCCCACAGGCCGCATTCTCTCGGCCCATGGGAAGGCAAGGGCTCCTGGGAGATGGCGAACGGAGAGCTGACACCTGTGCTGGGGGACGGTCGGCCACCACCTGCCTCACCTCTACAGCTCTGGAGTGGGATCCAGACGGCCGGATCCAGAGGACCGGGTGAGGGGACTCTGGGGACAGCGCCATGCCACCGGGCGTGGAGGTGGGGGCAGACAGGTGCCAGCAGCACTGCCATCCCCCGGCACGTGGTGGACAGGGCCCTGGGGTGGGGTGACCCCAGGAGCAGCCTGTTACTCCCCCAAGAAGGCAGGGGGGGCTCAGCAAACACAGGCAGCTCCAGCAACAGTGGACAGAGGTGCCTGAGGCCCACCCAGGGGGCTGCCCCTCCCCGCAGGCTGTCGGCCAGCTAAGCCAGTGTGTGGACCGGGAGGGCACAGCACAGGGGCTGTCACTCCATGCCCCACCGTGGCTGTGCCCTCGATCCCAGCAAACACCCACCCCACCCCACACGCAGAGCTGGACGGTGCAGGCCCGGGGCTGGCACTGTGCCTGCTCCTCCAACGCTCACCCGTACAGGTCTTCTTCCCTGGGAGCCCTGGGTCCCCCCACCAGTCATTCTCCCTGGCCCTGCTGGCTGCCACCATCGCCACAGGTGCCCCTTGAGGCTTGGGTTCCTGACAGCCTGTCCTGAGCAGGCCAGGGGTGACTTTGCCAGAAACCGCCTCTCCCTGGACTCACCAGGGGCCCGGTCTACACCAGCCCAGCTCCACCGCCCTCTCCCACTTCTCATGAGAGGCACCCCCACAGAGGGATAAGGGTGCTCTTGGCCACAAGGACAAGAACTAGCCTGGCCCAGAGGGGTGGGAGTCCCTGAGACACAGCCTTGGTGGACAGCCCCACAAAACCCATGGCTGGGGCCCCCGCAGCCTGCTTCCTGCTGTCCACCACTGGGCACGGCACCCAGCAGCCAGGGAGCAGCCAGGGAGCAGCCAGGCCACTGCAGCCGCCGCCTCGGCAGCAGGTCTCACTGCCGGGACTCACCTGCCTTCTCCAAGGGCCCAGCACCCCGAGATCCTGATGCCAGGGTAAGTTGGGGGGCTGCTCATGGCTGAGGATGCAGGCGTGTCCTGGAGGTGGGTGCTCCCAGGTGTGAGTGCGCAGACCTCTCAGACCCACAGCAGCCCCCCAGGACAGCCCGGGAGCTCTGGCCGCATGAACCTGCCCTCCATGGGCACAAGCACTCCTACGGCAGCAGAGCAGGTGCAAGGCCAGGTGGCTGGCAGAGGCTGCTGCTGCACAGGTCGGAGCACAGCAGCTGGGGGCCCCAGGGGTCCCCACCAGACAGGACTCGCCGCCAGCCTCAGGGCCAAAGCCGGGGGCCTAAGAGGATCACCCGGCTGGGGCTCGTGCGCGCCTGATATTAATAGCACGGATTTTGCCTGGCACGGCCTGGACAAGCCTCAGCTGCCCCCCCAGCCACCCCGCGCACAGGCTGACACCGTCCCCTGCCCAGGGCCTGCCAAGGACCACCAGGCTGGACATGCCTCCCAGAATTCCCTGGAAGAAGCTCCAGTCCCCTGGCCTACCTGGGCAGCTGGAGCCGCTTGTTGGCCAGGTTACCTGAATGTCAGAGCCGGGCGAACGCCCCACCCCGTCCCAAGGTGCCTCCTACAGGCACAAACAAATCTGAAACTCTACCCTCGGGCATCAGGGCCTGCCCCACCCCCACCCCAGGGAGGCTCCAGCAGGTCCCGGTGGCCACCAGCTGCTCCCCAGTCAGCAGGGGACGCGGCCACACGGGGAAGAGATCGCCCGCCCTCAGCAGAGCAGAACAGGGGGCCAGAAAAAGGTCAGTAGAGGACGCTGCAGGCCTCCTGGGGGGCGGTCTGGTGGGTGGTGTCGCCTGCCCCTCCCCCACTCCCAGGACGGGGGCAGAGGGGAAGTCCCAGCCACCCCCGAGTCCCCAGGTGCTCTGAGGTGTCTGGGGCCTGGGGCCAGGGGCCAGGGGGTTGGAGCTGGAATTCCAGGCCCAGGTCACGGGGGATCCTGGAGGTTCAGCCTGGCACATGCCGAGGTGCCCCAACTGGCAAAGACCCACAGGGTTCGAAGGGAAGCATGGGGGGGACGGGGGCGGGACATGAGCCCAGGTATGCAGCAGCCAACAGAAGAGCCAGGCCCTGTCCCAGGCTCAGCACCCCACACGAAGGGTCCCTCAGCCTCCACTGCCTGCAGCAGGGAGGGGGCTTGTGTCTGCCCACTGTTCTTCAACCTCTCCTATGAACACTCCCACACCCCAGGTTCTGGCTCACCATCAGGGTGGCCCAGGAATCCTCACACCTGAGGTGTCAGGGCTGGGGTGCCCCCTGCCTCACCCACTCCTGGCTGTTCCACCTGGCCATGGCGTGGGCACGGCGGGGTGTGGCTAGCACCGGAGCCTGCTTCCTCCTCAGAGACAGCAGCACGTGTGCTGTAGGCGCGCGCGGGGGGAGGGGGGGGCGGGCAGGGCAGGGGCCTCCCAGGACCTAGAGACCAGGAGCCACACTGCCCCTCCCCACCCTCCAAGCCTGACCTTGGGGCCCCCACATCTGGAACTTGGGGGTGGAGTAGCACATGTCCAGGCCCTCGCAGCTGTGGTCAGAGCTGACCAGTCACACTGGGGGTCACTGTCCCCGGCGCAAGGGGTTGTCCGTGGTCAGTTGAAGGGACATTTTTGAATAAAACGAGGCCACAGGGAGGGAGGAGCCGTCACAGGTGCCTTTCTGGGTCCCCAGTGATCCTGGACAGGCACTGCAGCCCCACTGGCTCTTCCCGCCACCCTGGAAGCCTCCCCAGCTGCCCGCTCCTTCCTGTTGCCCTGAGCAGTCACTCGCCAGCCTCCGTCCACTGCCCACATCCGCAGTCAGGAGTCGCTGCTGACACCCACGCTGGCCACCGCCCAGCACAAAGCCAGGGACAGGCAGATGCGAACGGGAGCAGCCACTTCCGGGAGCAGCAGAGTGGACACCACTCCCAGCCAGGGTTCGGGGTCATGAGCTCAAGGAGCCGACAGAGGCCACCAGGCCGGGCGGAGGACACGGAGGGGACACGAGGCCCCGGGGCAGGACCTGATGGCCACAGGGAGCTCCTCCAGCCCTGTCCCCCACTCTCGGTTTCAGTCAAGGACGGCGCAGCTCCCATCCGGGCGGCCCCCCCGAACGCGTCTGGGCGCACCGGCCCCTGTCCAGGGAGGAGGCGCCTGCGTGGGCGCCACGCAGACCCGGAAGAGACAGCGGCGCCGGGGAGGCCCCAAAGCCGTGCACGCCGGGGCAAGCGGGGCCGGCTTCCCGCGTGCCCCTGGGCTCCCCTCCGGCCGCCGGTCTCTTGGCCCGGGCCCACCCCGAGCCGCACAAACCCAAAGAAACTCGGGGAGGCCTCGCCCGCTCGGGACAGACCCGCCTTCAGCTCGAGGCGCACCGACAGCGCCCACCGGGCCCCGCCCGCCCCTCGCAGGAGGGAGCGAGGGTCGGGGCGGCCGCGGTGCACAGGCAGCGACGAGCGGCGTGGGGAGGCGGACACGGCCAGGACCCCGACCCCGGCCCCGGCCCCGGCCGGCACCCCCAGCGGCACGGACCCCGGCGCCTACCGGCCCTCGCTGTCCTCGGCGTCCCGGGCGCGCGGCGGCGGCGCGGGGGCGTCCGCGGGGGCCGGGGGCGCAGCCATGCGCGCAGCCTCTCCGCCGCCGGCGCGGACTACGAGCCCCACAAGGCCGCGCGCGGGCCGGGGGCGCGCGCGCCGCCGGAAGGCCCGCCCCCCGCCGGCCGCAGGAAAACCCTGGGAAAAATCGATAAACGTTTATTGGATACAGTCGCTCTCGGAACACAGCTGCGCCGCCCCCGCAGGGCCCGGACGGCGTCCTCTCGGCGCGCGGAGCCAGAGGTAGATCTGCGGGGCCCGGCCGGCAGCCTCCGGGCGCGGGTCCTCGCGCGCCCCGCCCCGGCTGGAGGGCAGCCACTCCGGCAGCAGCCCCCACGCCTTAAAGACAACGAAGGGTTAAAGTGCTGAACGTCAAGGTTCCCAGGACCCCTCCCCACAGCAGGGACCTCCTGCGGGCTTGGGGGTGTCCCGGGAGCTGCCCCCACCCAGCGCCAACTACCTGAGAGGCCGGTGAAGCGGCCACACCCCTCCCACCCTGGACCCCACTCCCTAAGCTGCCTTGCTCCACCCGACCCGACCCCACCCGCAGCGCACAGGGGGGAGCCGCCCTGCCCCCAAGCTCCAGCTGTGCCGGAAGACACCACCTCTGTCCACACCAAGGTGTGTGGGGGGCGGAGGGTCCGTGTCTCTACACCCACTCCCCAGCGCGACAGGCCGAGCTGCAGGAGAAACAGAGACCCGCACACGGGGACCCCACCCCCAGGCCCACACAGGGGCCCGGGGCCCAGCCCCAGCCCGTGGGCACCAGCGAACCCTTAGCACCAAAATGTCAAATTGTTGTTGAGTTTTTGTATAAAAAACAGAATTTTAAAAAAGGTTGTTACTTGTCACAGCAACAAGACTGGCGCCCACTACACCCAGAGACACGCACACAGGCAAACACCGCGATTCCCGCCGTCCAGGCCGTGTCCTCGGCCACCCGCCCGCTCCCCTGCACCGGGGCCTCCCTCCGCACCCACCCTCTGAGTGTCCTCCCCGGAGGCGCGCGTGGCCACTTCCTCCAGGCACTCCTCAGGCCCTGCCTGACCCCAGCCCTCCTCCAAGGCAGTGGACAGAGCCCCGGGGCCGAGCCCCGGCCCTCACTGGCGGGTCAGACTCAAAAGGGGCAGTGCGGGCAGGCAGGGGGAGGGGCCGTGGGAGGTGCCCCCCACGGCAGCCGCTCCTCAGGTGGGACCCATCTACCCAGGAGCCCCCAAAGCCTGCAGGGTGGGGGCTGGGATCCTGGCTCCTGCACCCTGAGGGAAGCAGCAGCCCCCGTGGAGGCCAGGAGCACAGCAGGGCAGGGCCTGGAGAGGTAGACACCAGAAGGGAGGGGCCGGGCGGGCAGCGGCAGCGGGTCTGTGCTGGGAGGTAGCTGGGGGTGCAGTTCCAGTGTGGGTGGCAGCAGGGGCTGCTCAGGCGCTCACCGCCCAGAGCCACGGTCAGCTCAGCAGGGACACCTGAGCCTCAAAGCCAGGCTGGGGACCCAACAAGGCCCACGGGAGCAGACGACCCACGGGCACCAGAGCATCCCCAGGGCTGGCCATCCAGGCTGCTACGCGTACGTGGCTGCCCCCAGCACTCCCTGGGAGGCCCAGCCCAGGAAGGGATCCCTTCAGGGAGGAGAGGGCGGCTGGGCACCCCACTGGACGCACGGATGGGTGGATATGGAACTGGAGGCCAGGCTGCCCCTGGTGCCCCTGCCTGGACCACAGGGCCCAGTGGCCAGTGTGAGGCCAGGCCCCGCCCCCAGCTCACTTCTCAGGTGGCGTGCCAGCCCCCACCTTACGGCCAGTGGAGCCCCGGGCCCCCTTGTCTCTGGCCCCTGGGAGCCAGTCGTCCCCGCGTGGGGGCGGCCTGGGTGCGGACTCCTCTGGGGGCGGGGCCTCTGGGGGCGGGGCCTTGGGCTTGCGGCCTCGCTTCTTCCCGCCTCCCCTACTCTTCTTCTTCTCCTTCTTCGGCACCTCGGGGTCCTGGCTCCTGTGTCTGGGTGGCGCATCGGCAGAGGTCCGGAACCAGTTCTGGGGGGAGGAGGAAGGGGTGAAGGCCGGCGCCGGGAGCAGGCGCCCCCAGGGTGTCCAGCCCAGCTGCTGCCCTCGCACCTCCGCGTGCGTCTTGAGGATGTGGTACTTGACGCCGCTCTCGCTGCTGAACTCCTTGGGACACAGCAGGCAGTGGTACTTCCCCACCAGGTGGTCCCCCTGCAACACACCTGCGTGCAGTCCCCAGCCCTCCCCCACGGAAGGGGGGCAGCCACAGGGGAGTGGTGGCAGTGCATGCTGGGAGGGGCCGGGAGGGAGGAGCTGCCAGCCCTCAGGCCTGGCCGTCCAGCTCCTGCACCGGGCTCCCCGGTGGGCCCAAGCTGGGAGTGGCCACAGGGAGCCCCAACACTGACCTTGCCGCAGCTGGCGAGGTGGGCCTTGAGGCCGGACACGCTGGAGTAGATGGCTTCGCAGCACTGCGGGCAGGAGGCAGCGTGGGGGAGGGCCTCAGGCCAGGGGAGCCCGGGGCCTCTCTAGGGCAAGTGCAGGGGCTTCTGGACCCTGTGAGCTCTGGGCGGAGAGCAGGCTGGGCACAGGGTGGGAGGTCCCGGCCTCCTCTGCCCACAGGGGTCTCCATCTGAGCACCCTGCAGGGGCCCGTGGTCGGGGTGGATTGGTGGCTAAGGACAGGCCCCTCCTGGCAGGTCTTGGCCTCTGTTCCTACCCAGACGGTCACCCCGGGCTCAGCACCCCCCTCGGCCTCCCCACGCCCCCTGCCGGCCGCCCCGCTCACATCATTGGGGCAGCTGACGTGGCCTTGCTCCTTCACTTGGCTCTTCCACGCCTCCAGCAGCTGTGGGTTCAGCGTGGGCAGGCCCGGGCGCGTGTAGTTGAGCTGTGAAGTCGGGGGCCAGGTGAGCCACGCCCTTACCACAGGCACAGTCTCCGAAGACTCTCAGGGGTCATGAGAGCCACAGCACCAGGCCAGCGGCTCATCCGCGGGGACAGGGGTCCCAGCGCACGGCACCAGGCCAGCGGCTCATCCGCGGAGGCAGGGGTTGGAGCCTGCGGCCAGCGGCTCACTCACCCGTGCTGTCTCGGGAACCAGGTCATCTTTCATGCGCCGCTTGGTCCAGTCTCGGGCCAGCTCGTCCTCTGCGATCTCCTGCAGGTGGAACACTGCCACCTGGGCCGAGGTGCGGCGGATGCGGCCGCTCGGGGTCCGTTCCACACCCAGCAGGTCCTCGGCCTCAGAGGGCTTGTCCGTGGGCTCTTCGGGGGGCTGCAGCGCCAGGTGAGCCATGGGGCAGGACAGCGAAAGACAGGGGTCAGAGTCAGGGTCAGCATGAAGTGCAGGCTGCCGGGGGCACGTGAGGGCCACTCACCGGGGCCGCGTGCTCCGAGCGCACGTGGTAGTCGTGGCCAGCCTTGGAGCGGTAGGTCTTGCCACAGTGGGCGCAGGGGAAGGAGGGGCTGTCCACCTCGCAGGGCGGCTTCCCACAGCGCCGCTGGTGGTACTGGTAGCCCATGAGGCTGGAGAAGGCGGCCCCACAGCCCTGGGGTTGGGGGCAGACATCAGCTGGGCGCCCGGGCAGCCCCGTGCCCCGGGCTGACCACTGGGGCACACTGACCTCTCGGGGGCAGCGCAGCCGCCCCATCTGCTTCAGCACCTTGCGCAGCCGCTCCCGTTCCTCCTGCTCACCCCCCTCAGAGGCGTCGGCGTCGGAGGGCTGAGGACAGGGCCAGCCTCAGAGCCGTCGGCCCTGGGCCCGGCCCGGCCCCGGGACTGGGGACTGCGGGGTGGTACCTTGGCGCTGTGCTCGGCCATGCTGTGGTAGTTGAGGCCTGCCTTGGACTTGAACTGCTTGTGGCAGTGCTGGCACTTGAGCGCATCCTGTAGCTGCGGGGGGGGAGGGGTGAGCAGCCTGGCCCCACGGGGCCCCACCCCCACCCCACCCCTGAGCACGTGGCCCTCACCTTCTGGCACACCTCCATGTGCCGCTTGAGCCCTGCCAGGGTCTTCCGGGCGACCACGCCGCAGGTGGGGCAGACTACGGCCCCCCGCTCGTGGATGGCGCGCTGCCACTGCTCCTCAGCGCCACCTAGAGGCAGGGCCGGGCACTCAGGGACTCCAGGTAGGGAATCCAAGGCCACACGGTGTGCCCCCACCCCCCAGCCCGCCAGAGACCCCACCTGGGGCTGAGTGGGCCACAGGGGCCGGAGCCTCCTTGCTGACTGCGGTGGGAGGGGTGGGCACCTTCCTCCGCGGGTCCTCGGGGCCTCCCTCCTGCTTCTTGGAGCGGTGAGTGCGGGCCTTGTCCTCGGCTTTGGCCAGGCCTACGGGCACAGCAACAGGGGCGTGGGGGTGTGTTGCTGAGGGCCCAGCGCGTGCCCGAGGGGCCTGGCTGGCTGGGGTCTCACCTTTGAGCCCGAAGGTCCCCGAGATGGACGGCTGCTCCCCCGTGAACTTCTTGGGCGTCTTCTGCTTCCTTCCTGACTCGGGGAGGGGGTGGAGATTCTGGTCAAACTGCCCCTGGCTGAGGCCCCGCCCAGACGCGCCCCTGGGGCTCTCTCTCACTGTGCTTTGTGCGCTCGGGGTCCTCCTCCTGCTGGGCCATCCTCAGCGCCTCCTTGTTTCCCGAGGGCCTGCCTCCCGGTGGCAGGGAGCTGCCGCCCGGCTCGGCTGGCAGCTGGAAGGTGGCGCTCTGGCCCGTGCTGGACGGGCCGCACTGCCCGTTCTCAGGCTTCGCCTGCTTGGGTGGGATGGGGCAGGCGTCCAGGCCATCGGCAGCCCTGTGGGGCACAGCGAGCTGAGGGCCAGGAGGACCTGCAGGGTGGGCCTCGTCCCCCCAGGCTGCGGCCGAGGAGCGCCCCACCCACGGAGAGCCCGTACCTTCTCTTACCGCTGCTCCGCCCACTGGCGCGAGGCGCTTGGTTCTCAGACTGGGTCAGCAGCGCCATCTTGCAGGGCGGTGTGTGTCTGCTGACGGTCACTGGCTTGCTGACCACGACGGGCCTGCTGACCGGCAGGGGCCTGCTGACCGTGATGGGCTTGCCGACTGGCACAGGCCTGGCGACTGGCACAGGTTTGCCAACAGGCACGGGCCTGCTGACCGTGACGGGCCTGCTGACCCCAATGGGCCGGCTGATGGTAACCGGACGGCTGACCGGCCCAGGCTTGGGGGCAGGCAGGGGTCGGTCCATGTGGTTCCAAATCCGGTGCTTCTCCAGCTGGGTCTTGGACGTGAACGCGGCTTCGCAGAAGGGGCAAGGGAACGCCAGCCTGTCTGAGACGGCGCCCTGGGCAGGGAGGGCAGGTGTGGGACGGGGCCCAGGGCCCACACACATCCCAGGCCACCTCTTCCCAACCCAGGGGCCCTTACCCCCTGGCACCGCTGGTAATGGTACTTGAGCCCGTAGATGCTGGGGAACTCCAGCCAGCACCCCGAGTTTGGGCACTTCACCCTGGAGTGTGCCTTGAATTCATCTTTCCACTGGTTCATCAGGGAGAGCTGGGTGTGGGGAGAGGTCAGGCTGCCGACCCTCCACGGCCCAGGCCTCTGCCAACCCAAGACTTGGGCTCAGAGCCCTGCCCGGGCCTACAGGACATGAGGGGCCCTGCCCAGGCCTACAGGACACGGGGGGCCAGGCCTACAGGACACGGGGGCCCTGCCTACAGGACACAGGGGGCCTATAGGACTTGGGGGCACACCGACCACAGGGAGAATTCAGCACCCCAAGCAGTGGCCATGACCAGGCCCACTCTGAGGGCTACTGGGACCTCATGACGCGTGTGTGTGTGTGTGTGTGTGTGCGCGCGAGGGGCTGGCCACACCCTGGGGCAGGGGCCTCCATGGGCAGGGCACACGCCCAGTCTGGGCCTCAGGGAGCTCACAGGGATGTCTCGGAGGGCCTGGTTCTCAGCTTTCGGCCGCCCCTTTTTCTTCCCTTCCGTCCTGTCGCTGGCTGGACTTCCGGGGTCAAAGCAGAGTGGGGCCTGGCCAGGCACCGTCTGTCCACCGCGAGCTACCGGCATCCCTGCAGCACAGGGCACACGCAGGCTAGGGCACCGCGCAGCCGTGTCTGGCGCCTCGGGGGCCTCGCACCCACAGCAGCAAGGCACTGGGGCGAAGGCTGTGGCCAGCCCTGGACAAGGACCCACGTGAACACAGCTCCCACCCGAGGGCAGGGGCCCTTCTGGTGGCCGTGACCCTCACCCAGCTTCGGCGCGTCGTGCAGCACGGGCAGCCGGACCTCCTTCCTGCCGCCTTCCTTCCCCGGCCCACTCCTGCCGGGGCCCTGGAGCCGGCGGCTGCTTCCGACACAGAAGGGATCGGTCATCTCTGCAAGGGACAGCAGGCGGACGTGCCATGAGGCCCGCTGCGCCCCAGGCCTGGCCAAGGAAGGAAGCGTGTGGCAGGGGGATCAGGAGGCACCCTCTGTGCAGCAGGACCCAGTCCTGTCCCAAGACCCTCGCCAGCTCTGACAGCCTCCCCCTCTCCCGTACCTGCCACAGGCGTCCAGGGTCACCCTCGTCCCCAGCTGGCCAGGGTGCGCAAAAGGGAGGAGGAGGCTGGGGGCCGACCATGCCTTCGGCTGCCCTGCCCAGCACCCACGGGGCCCCCAGACCCAGGAAACACCCACCCGCCCCGCCAGCAGCCCAGGCACAGGCGGAAGGCAACCAAGGAAGCGGAGAGGGTCCCTGGACACTCAGACCCCCTCTGGCAGCACCCAGGGCAACATGGTCTCCAGCCAGACCTGGGCTACCACCAGCTGACCTCCCCTCGCGGCCACTAGCAAGAGGCTCTCCTGTCCCGGCCCTGCCATTCCTCCACGGGGTCACCCTGGAGCAGGCGCAGGGCTGGGTGAAGAGCGGACCCCTCCCCTAACAGCGTCTACCTAAGTCGGGCGGGACAGGAGGGGAGGGGGCTGCTAAGGTCAGCGAAGGCCGAGGCCCCAAGGCAGGATAGCCGCTGCTCAGGGCCCAGGGGTGCCGGCGGCCTGGGCCTGGGCGTTGGGAGGGTCCTCACGCCAGGAAAGTTCTCCCAAGTCCCCACTTGGCACGCAGAAGGCAGACAGCGCCGGCCCGGGTCCTCGCGTCCCTGACGACCCTCCGCGGACAGCGGCGCCGATGCGGCCGTGCCCCCCAGTGCCCCCCAAGCCCGGGGCCGGCTTGGCGCGGGAGGCAGAGACCCGCCCTCCGCCCGGGCCTCGGCGCCAGGACGGCAAGGGGCGGCCACGGCCGGGCGCCGGCCCGGCGGGGCCGCGGGGACCCCGCGGGGACCCTGCGGGGAGGGCGGCTGCGCTCGCGCGCCGGGCCCGGCCTCGCCACCCACCTGTCACCTGCGCGGGCGCGGGCCTCGGCCTGGCCCGGAAGGGCCGCTGGCGGCGCGGGGGGGGCGAAGGCAGTGAACCAAAATGGCGACTTTTTCCGAAGAGGAGGAGGCGGGAAGACGGCGCCGGCGCGGGGCGCGGGGCGCGCGCGGGGTCCGGGCGCGGCGGCAGCGGCGGCGGGGACGGCGCGGGGCGCGGGGCGGGGGTGGCGGCCGCGCCGGGCGAGGCGGGGGCGGCCGGCGCTGACCTGCGGCGCCCAGCAGGGCCGGGGCCGGGCCGGGCCGGGCCGGGGGCGCGGGGCGCGGGGTCCGGGCGGCGCAGGCTGCACGCCGCGCTGCGCACATGCGCGCTCCGCCCCTCCCACCTTTGACAGTTTTACGGCGGGGGGAGGGGGCGAACTCTCGCGGTATTCCTGCCACGCGCGGCGCCGGGGAGGGGGCGGCAGCCGGGGTCCGGGGTCCGGGGTCCGGGGTCCGGGGTCTGGGGTCTCTCGTCTCGCGTCTCGCGCCAGGGCTCGGAGCTCCGTCGCCTCCGCCGTGGGGACTCCCAGGAGGGGACCAGTTGTGCTGCCTGTGGAACGTGGGGGCGAACTGAGGCCCGCGAGGGGCTTTGGGCGCTGCCCCGAGTCCTGCACGCACGGACGGAGCCAGGGCAGGTGCAGCAGGAAGGCCACGGCGCTCCCGCCCCCCCACTCGGGCCCACTGGCCAGCAGGCTGCAGACCAGCTGGCCCCTGCCAGGGCACCAGGGCTTGGCTGGGGTCCCTGGCCACTGGACCTGCCTCTTTTAGCCCCGGGATGGGTGTTCCTCGGTGGCTGGTGTCAGGTCTGGGGCGAGGGGCCCGGCCCCTCAGGCTTGGGCATAGATGAGGCAGAGCGTGGTGGGCAGCGGCCTGCAGGTGCCCCAAGGCCCTGCCCCCTCCCTGACGCAGCCATCCTGCAGGGCTGGGAGAGAGGAACCCTGGGGTGGACCCTGTGTGGGCCACAGCGTCCACAGGCTTCTGCTGTGTGTGCTGCTGCATCTGCTGAGTTTCAGACGCCCCAGGAAAGCTCATGGACCTCTGCACCCCGTTGGACACTGCTGCGCGGGAGGTAGAGACAGGTGCATAGCCCTCTCTCAGGCCCTCTGCTTCAGCACCCCCTGCCCAGCCTGGGGGCAGAACTCAGGTTCACCAGGACCTCGGGGGAGGGGCTGGCCTGGGTCCCCTGGGGCGAGACTTCATTGCCAGTGCCTGCCCAGGGCTGGCGAATGAACGGCCCGGTGCCCTCGTGTGCCTGGGTGGCCATACCGTGAGGCTGGGGTGTTGTGTCCCGACCCTGCCCTGTGTGGGAGGCTGGAGCCCCGACCCTACAGGGGAGGCCTTCTTTGGAGGAGGGTTGCACACAGAGTCCCTGCCTGGGGAGATGAGAGGGAGCCAGGGCCAACAGGCAGGCACCAGAAACCCGAAGGGGCTTGGAGGCCCCACTGGGGTTGGCCTCTGGCCTCAGAGAAGGCAAAGGCCCCATCCCGGGACAGCAGCCCCAGGACCCCCCGTGGGGCGCCCCGGCTGTGGCCTCCGCCTTGGGGGAGGCCTCTTCAGAACGCAGCTCCACTGCCCCCTGGTGGCGCGGCCTGCAGGCAGCCAGGCATGCCGCCCCCCCCCCCAACACCCAGTGCAGCAGGCACTTGAGAACCACGTTTATTTGTTTGTTTTTTTCTTCTCTTTGTCAGAGTATAAAAAAGTGAACGCAAGACAAGACAAGACAGGGGCACGGGGTGGGCAAGACAGAGGCAGGAGGATGGGTGGCGGCAGGAAGGGCTCCCTGGGGAAAGACCTATAGCACAGGGTGGTCGGGGACAGGGACACGGGCAGCTGGGGGTCATGGCACAGGACGGAGGTGCCAGGCCAGTTTTCCGAATGCCACTCGGGACCTGCGGCTGCGATGACCAACCTCGCACCCAAGGCCGGCTCAGGGCACACAGAGGGGCTGGGCTCAGCCTCATCTGTCCCTGAGAGAGCCCGGGGGGGGGGGGGTGGGAGAGGGCTGCCCTGCACCCAGGGAGGGGATGCTCTGGCGTCTGTGGGCAGATGTGGGGCCGAGGCCCTTGGGACAGCCTCTCCTGTGAATCCAGATCTTCCCGGGAGAGTGACAACGGAAAATGTCTGTGCCACTGACCCGGGCAGAAGATGCTGGATCGCAATAGTCCCCCAAGCACCGGCTGAGGAGCAGCACTGAGCCCAGGCCCCTGCGTGAGGTCACCTCATTGGGTGGCTTCGTCTTCACGGGTGTGGATGCCCCCTGGCCTCAGTTCTCACGGACTCGGAGCAGGGAGCCAGCTTCAGCATGCGCTGGGTGTGGCAGCCAGCCGCTGGGTTCTGATGACCATTCCTCTGGGCCGTGAGTTGGGCCTGCCGGGCCCTGGCAGGGACAGGAGGGGCACCGAGCTAGGAGGGCTGAGGAGTTCATCCCAGCTGGGTGGCAGACGGGTCAGTGCTGTGACGTTGCAGGCACCTGGCCATCTCTGGCTCGAGAGAGCTGCCGCACACGCGGCCAGCGGCACGTGCTCTGGTCCCAGGAGGAGGGGCGCCCAACCCCGGATGCGGCGTGGAGTGCCCACCCAGAAGCACCTGAAGGTGAGCGTCCTGGTCCCGCCTGTCCACAGAACTGGGCTCTGCTGCCCAGGCGTCCACAGGGTCCAGGAGCTGAGCCACCAGCACCATTTCGTCCCTGGCCACGGGCTCCAGTCACAGTGCTGGTCTGGGGTTTGAGCCTCAGCAGCAGCTAGGACATGTTTCCGAAGGAAGCTGCGGGGTAGATGGGGGCGAATGGGGGTGGACCCTTCCCGGGCCCCTCCAGCCAGTCTCCTGAGATCCTTCAGAGACCCCTCCCAGCCCCGCCCCCAGCCTCTCCCACAGACCTTGGCTGAGCAGCTGCAGGCTCCGCCCCTCCTCGCGCACCTGCAGGTGCAGCACCTGCTGTAGCACCTCCTGCCTCTGGGCCTCCTGCGCCAGCCCCATGCGTTGCAGCTTCTCCGCATTCAGCCGCAGCAGTGCCCGGCCTGCAGGGAGAGGGGCGGACAAGCTGAGGCCCACAGGGACACTTGGGACTCACCCAGGGGCGCGGGAGGGCAGCAGCCGGCGTACCGGTGATGGCGTGTTGGGAGAAGGCCTCGACGTAGACGAGGTAGTTGTGGGGACAGTGCTTCTTGAGCCACTTGCACACGTCCTGCTGAGTCCACAGCACCACGGGCCGCGTCAGGCCGCCCAGCGGGGGGCTGGTGTGGTACAGGCCGTAGTGGTCCGAGTACAGCTGGCCCTGCAGGGGGAGGAGGGTGGTGGGCGCAGTGAGGGTGGCGTAGTGGGCGCGGGGGGCGGGGGCGGGCGGCGGGGTACCTGGGGGGCCTCTGTGCCTGGCTGCTGCAGGAGCTTGATGGGTCTGCTGCTGCACGCCCTCTGGCTGCGGGGGTCGTGCCACGTGAGGCTGGTGCCCGGCGTTCGAGGCAGGTGGCAGGGGATGCTCTCGGCGGACACCGTGTGCTCCAGGACGGTCCGGCAGAAGCTGAAGTGGGCGGTGGCTGTGTGCGGGGGCCCTGGTCAGGCTCCTGAGAGGCAGCTCCCCTGTCGTGCCCGTCTCCTCCCCACCCCTGAGGGGAGTCACATCCCCAAGCCCCCCCCCCCCCGGCAGGAGTCCAGAGACTGGAGGCACCACGCCTCCTACCTGCAGAGGACCCACACTCCAGGGAGCCAGGCAAGGGGCGGCAGGGGCGGCAGGGGCAGCCTTGAGCTATACACCTTGCCTAGGGCTGGCCTCTGAGTCTCCCGCATGCAGCACAGGACCTGCATATGCACACACGGGACCTGGGCACACACACGGGACCTGGGCATACACACACAGGATTAGTGCACACACACACGAGACCCGTGTACACACACACATAGTACCTGTGCACACATACACATGGGACCAGAGCACACACACGGGACCTGGACACACACATACACACAGGATCAGTGTGCACACACACAAGACTTGCATGTACACACACGAGACCTGCACATACACACATGGCACCAGGGCACATAAACAGAACCTGTGCACACACAGGATCTTCATTCACATACATGGGATCTGGGCACACACACAAGGACCTGTGCACACACACTGGACCTACAGGCACTCACATGGGACCTGGGCACACACACAGGACCTGCAAACACACATATGGGACCCATGCACACACACACTGGACCTACAGGCACTCACATGGGACCTGTGTGCGTGTGTGCATACGTATGGGACCTGTGCACACACACAGGACCTGTGCACACACACTGGACCTACAGGCACTCACATGGGACCTGTGCACACATACATGGGACCTGCAGGCACACACACAGGACCTGTGCACACACACGAGACCTATAGGCACGCATATGGGACCTGTGCACACACATAGGACCTGCAAACACACACACTGGATCTACATGCACACACACACAGGACCTGTGCACACACACACAGGACCTGTGTGCACACACACGGGACCTGCAGGCACACACATGGGACCCACATGCACACACACAGGACTTGCAGACACACATATGGGACCTGTGCATACACAGGACGCACACACACACAGGACCTGCAGACACACATATGGGATCTGTGCACACACATGGGACCTGGGCACACACAGGGAACCCACACACACACACACACACACAGGACCTGCCTTTGCAGAGGGCAGGCCCTGCCTCCTGGGCAGCCTTTGCAGGGAGACGGTCCCACTGAAGTCGCCCTGGCCCGAAACACTGTGTCCACAGCCCTGCCCCATGTCCCTCCCGACGGCCTGCCCTGGCAAATCCTCCCGCACCACAAGCTGAGCCCAGGACAGCACCTGGTGCTTAGCACAGGGGTGCAGCCATTGCCCAGAGACCCCAGTGACGCCCCTTCCTCCCTGCTCCTTCAGCCTGTTTCCCGGTGCTGGTACCCCCGGGGCAGGCAGCGGCTCCGCGGACCCTCTCCCATCCCGGTGGGATCCCGGCTGCTGTCAGGTCGCGGTGCACAGGCGGCGCCCCGGGCCCCGCCCCCGACACAGCCGGCGGGTCCTGCGGCGGCCGGGCTGGCCCTGGTCTCGCGCTGAGCAATGGGGGAACCCTCGGTCTT